TGTACTCGGTACCAACTGCCCAAAAACCCTGAACCGATGTGCCCAATCTATCTATAGGCTACAACTAGCCTAGACTCGACCTAGACCGGACTGACTGACCGACCAGTACTGTTTCTGTTTCGGCCTCTCGGCCTCTACCGGACCCGGCTATAGGCTATAAGACCGTCTATGAGATTAGGCCCTTAGGGCCTGTCTGTCCTACGGGTAGCCCGGGCCTGCTATCCGCAGTTAGGGTAGCTGTAGGGAGTCCGGTTAGTGTCGGGCCTGTATTTTCCCGGATTTGCAGATATGTCCCTCACAAATTGCCCTCACAGGTAGGTCTCTCGGTTAGCCCTCAGCCAAACAAAAATTGTGAATCTGTCCTTCCTATAGTACAGCCTCGACGGAGAGAGGCTACAGGCGACCAGAAAACAGCAAGTCATTGCACCTGTCTTCGTGAGGTGGTGACTACCTGCTGACGTGGCATCGGTCTCCTTGGATGACGTGGCATTGTCTGACTGGCTGGAACGGCGACGGTATCTCAACGTGACGCGTGGAAGTGGCACGTGGCTAGGATCAGAGTACACATTTGCTGACGTGGCATCCCGCTATTGGTTGACCGAAAGAGTGCTGACGTGGCAGTACATGCTGTGTTGGCACTCCAGGGATGACGCGTGGCAGGCAGGATTACTGCCAAGTAAGCGAAGCATTCTGAAGACGACGGCGGTACAACTGACTGAACGACTGACAAAACAATTGTAGTGCCAGTTGTTAGGGAGAGTGCATATCGCACTTACATCAGGAAGACACAACGGGTTGAAGAAGGTTGCTGACAAACTGTTTGCTGTTGTTGTAGAAGGTTGCTGACAAACTGTTTGCTGTTGTTGTTGGTATACTTACCCTGTTGTTGTTGTGTTGTGGTGCTTGCGTACTTACTTGTGTGTTGTGGCTGATCACACGGGCCTGACGTGGTACCTGTACACTCATAGGACGTCATCACACAGACGAAAGAACAACAATTAATATAAGTAGAGATCTGTTCCTTTTCATTATTTCTTTCTATTTTTCTGTTCCATTATTGCAAAGATGTTTAGTGTGTGAAAATTACTCTTGCTTCTTTTTTCGATGACAATCTTAGCGGGTGAAGGATCTTCTGCACCCAAGACTAGGAGACAGGCAGAGACAAAGAAACAATAGTTACTGGCTCTATGGAACCAACTGATGAATGATTTGCGTCTATCCGGACAGGAAGCCGATCGACACGTTCGTAATCTGTTTGATTTGCAGACGGTAGAGAACCGTCTGAAGCAAGCAATTACGGTCGCGGAAGTTATGGCTGCCGGAGTCGAAGTGTCTAAAATGATGGCCCAGTGCCGGAAGGCGCTGGACCAGTTTGCTATCTAGCAGCTAGAAGAAGTCATGGAGATGTCCAGGAAAGGAAGAATCAAACCAGAAGTGACCGAGGCTACGATTGACGTGAACATCCAGCAATTAAAAGAGGCGCTGGCTGCAGAAGAAAGGAAGAAAGAAGAACTGGCCCGGAAACATGAACAGGAACTGAGGCGGGAATAGAAAGTGAAAGAAATCAGACAAGTGATTGGAACAGAAGGAAAGAAACAGACTGATATGACACAGACGTATCACATCATGACTTACCTCACCTTCTTGGAAGAAAAAATTGACAGACAGCAAAGTCAGTTAGACGAGATTGCTGTAGGATTGCGGACTGTCCCAAACATTGTGAAAGGAAAGCATCCGGTGGAAGGAAAAGAGGAAGAGGTTAAGGAAGAAAATAAAGAAGTTAAAAAGTTGATGAGTGATGTGATGAAGTCTGTTGTTCCTCAAGATCAGACGACATCTAATGGAGGAGGGAAGCCGTCTAATGGAGGAGGACCGAGTCCGTCGTCTTCTCCACCGAACACTCCTCCTTCCACACCTCCTTCCTCTCCACCTCCAAAGTCTTCAGCTTCTCCGCAAGGTAAGGTAAGTACGGAACTGGAGAAGCCGAAAAGAAAAGAAAAAGTAAGGATGAAATTGCCTTTATGTTTTGCAACAAAAAGGTTGAAAATTTGTTGCTCTGGATAGCAGAAATTCAGACGTACTGTAGTACGGCCCCTGTTGAACCCGAGTCCCAGGTCGCTTTCTCTACCTCTTGTCTTGGGGGGGAAGCTAAGGAATGGGTATTGGCCGAAGCCAACGCTGCGGGGTTCGATGACGTTGGTGAGTGAGTTGCGACGTTGAACCTAAAGCAGTTCCTTGGCAAGATCAAGGAACGCTTTTTGGATAAGACAACGACCGATAACGCCTTT